GTTAAGTCTTCTTTGTTACTAAATAATGATATAGAGAAACTGATAAGAACAAATACTAAGACTGAATATCATAACTCTTAAAGATTTTGTTTGCCTTTGATTATTTAGGATGTTGATTTTGTTTATTTTAGGCTAAGGCTTTTTGTTTTTACTTTCATGCTGTTACGTAACAAAGTATTTAAAAATATTATAATCTACGTCAGTTACTTTAGTAGTAAAAACTTTAGCTTGTCAAAGAATTTGACTTTATGTGTCTATAATGACTGATTCTTATTAAAAAAAAGTATTACTAATTGTTATTTTTAAAATACATAGCTTAGGTAGTTGACTGTCGTTGTCTAAGTACCCAATAACCAAAGAAGTGACACACTTAGAAAATAGCTAAAGATTGTACAATAATTTCATTGGAAGAATTCTATTATTTTATTATTATTTTGGTTAAGAAATGTTAACAACCTATGTTTTTTGTCTTAAGTGATTATGTTCCAAATATTTTAAAAATAAATATATTCCAGAAATGCATAGCAAACTTATTTTACTACAATATCATTATTGTTTATCAGTCCCTAACAATACCTATCAGTCCCTAGATGCCCAATAATCAGTCCCTAACCAGAGCTGTCAGACCCTAGATGCCTAAGTTTGAAAAACTCTAAATTTCTCCCAAAATAAAGCATAAAATGACCGGCCCTTTTAGGTATAAGATAGTCAATCAATTACACTTAATATACACTACTCAAGTATCCAAAAGCATCTTAAAAAGGTTTAGGACAAAACAACATCAAAATTATCCCGATTTTTGGGAATGACCCAAATATAAATCGAAATATCTTATTGTTTCCTGTTATTCATTTCACTGTATGTGTGCTTGTTTGGAAATCTACTACTCATATTATTCTGATTACGAATACATGAAAATTTTTAATTATATTAGAGGAAAGTGACCAAATATGGAATAGTCTCCTTTTATGGAATACGCAATTAATTTCTAAATTATTTGCGCCATCTGCCGTTTTTATGCCCGAAGTGGCGCCCCAAGGTTCAAAACCCATTACAGAAACCTGTAACCGTCGTTAAGTATCTGCAGTCTGTCAAAAACTGAGGTACAGTGAATCGCCGCCTACTAAAGTTTTTGCAGCAGGTTAGTATTTTTTGATACCTAGAGTGTGTTTTGAGCCGAATTCGAAATCTGCGCAATATAATACAATGTAGGATGACGGCTTAGTCTATTGCTAGCCTAATTTTTCCCTTGATAAAAGCCTGTCAGTTCATAACATGATTAACCTCCAAATGCGTGGCGTTCCTAATATGGAATATCAACAAGGTCCAATTATGGAATATATTCCATATTAGGTGCACTATTTGTTTAAACATAAATAATGGTTTCCGTTTGTATTCAGACATGCCTAAGTCAAGGAAAGGGAAAAAAGAAAATGGAAGAAAATTGTGGGAGAAAGGAAGCATGGAGGAAGCAGTGGCAGCAGTTAGGGATGGTAGAATGGGGTATTTAAAAGCAGCAAAACAATTTAATGTGCCACGAAGCACCCTTTTCCGGTTATGTAAACAACACGGAGAGCCAGTTACGGTGTGTGACACACGGTTAGGACGAAAACCAGTCCTCTCAATCGAGTTAGAAAATGAACTTGCAGATTATTTGCTTGATATGGTCAATCGTTTCTTTGGGTTAACTAGAACAGATGTTCGCAGAATGGCATACCAACTTGCAGTTGCGAATGGCATCGAGCACAGATTTTCTGAACACCTCGGGCAAGCAGGGAGGAAATGGTTAAAGGCATTTTTGAAAAGACATTCAAACTTAACACTCAGAAAACCTACCGGGACACCATTCGCCAGAGTAGCAGGATTCAACAAAGCAAATGTTAATGCATTTTTCGATCTTCTGGAAGCCGAAATGGAGAAAGTCCATTATCCTGCAGATAGGGTATTCAATGTTGACGAGACGGGTTTGACGGTGGTACAATCAAGGTGCAGTGAAGTAATTTCTTTAAAGGGTAAGCGACAAGAGGGAGCGCTAACATCCGCTGAACGTGGTTCATTAGTGACGGTTATCATGTGCATGAATGCTGCTGGTACATTTATACCACCAATGATAATATATCCCAGAAAAAATATGAATGTTCAGCTTCAAAAAGGAGCACCTCCAGGCTCTCTATTCGCATGCCATCCATCCGGATGGATCCAAACACATTTGTTCACAGAATGGTTTCACCACTTTCTTACTAAAGTGAAACCATCAAGGGATGAACCGGCTCTTCTAATTTTAGATGGGCATAACACACACACTCGAAATTTAGAGTTCTTACGCTTAGCAAAACAGAATGGGGTAACCATAATATGTCTGCCTCCTCATACCACCCATAAACTGCAGCCATTAGACAAAAGTGTTATGTGTGCACTCAAGGCCCATTACAATGAGGAGGTTCGTGTATTCATGCGAACCTATAAACGTCCCATCACACAGTATGATATCACAGAAATCTTCGGCAGGGCCTACCTTAAGATACAGTGTGGTTCCAATGCTGTTAAAGGATTCGAGACGACAGGGCTATATCCGGTCCGCAGGAATAATTTCGACGAATCTGATTTTCTGAAAGCTGCACAAGAAGGCTCTGATGACGAATCTACCGCTGCATTACCTGAACAATCTGAGACTAACACGGCAACAAATCCCACAGTAATTGAGCAACTGTACGGTATACCGAATACCCCAGCGGTAGAAACGCACGTGACCCCACATGACATTTTACCACTTCCCAAATTGCAACAAAAAAAAGGGACACGAGGAAGGAAACCCGGTCAGGCCAAAATTATCACGTCTTCTCCCTACCTTAAAGAATTGGAGACATCATTGAACGTTTCTAAGGAAAAAGTTGAAGCAGTCAAACGAAAACTTGGGGCCCCCAAAAAATCTAGGAAAGTTCAACCATGCCCTCAACGTGAAACCGAAAGTATCCTAACTCAGCCAAGCACAAGCGGGGTGCATTTAGTGGCCTCCAAACAGAAGGCGAGGAATAAGAGAAGGTCATCAAGTTCTACTTCTTCAGAAAAATCTGAAGCACTGCATTATCAAGATTCCTCCGGTGATGAACTGACTCAAGAAACTACAGTAGATCCTGACGAGGATGCCATATGCGGATATTGTGATGGGAAATTTTCTGAAGACCAAAGGGGCGAAATTTGGATACAATGCATATTGTGCCTTCAGTGGTTCCACGAACAGTGTTCTGGGGCATACCGAAACAAATTTGTGTGCGATTTTTGCAAGTAAAATCGCTTCTGTTCCAGTGTAAAATTTCTGAAATGTTTTAAGTTTGTTTAATGTTTGTTATGTAGATAATATTCAGTTCCGTTTTTTTTTTTGTATTTTATGTTTATCGTTATGTAACAGAGTTCTATTTGATGTTTAGGTCTGAAAATATAGCATTTCTATGTCTTTTTTGATGAGAATTTGGTGTATTCCATATTAGGTTCCAAGGTATTCCATATTAAGGACACATTTTGGAAGTCGCCAAGAATGCACCTTAAACAATATTTCAGTTTCTGAACAGGGAAAATGACGTATTTTGGCCAAAAATTGATATGACTTTTTCATTATGCTCCGTTACACCCAACAGTATTGAGAAAACGAAAATTAATTGAACTATGGTCTGAATACAGTCAAAAACAAAAATGGTATTCCATATTTGGTCACTTTCCTCTATTATTAAAAGCTCAAAATTAGACGTAGCGATATTTAGGTAGTGCTCAATTGTTTATTCTCTGCGTCCCGCTGGCATAGCCAACTGATTAAAAAACTAAATCTGTACTTATTGTAGGAGTTTTACAATCATTTGAAAAAATCGACTTCGGCAATTTTTGACGTTTAATTTTTATACTAATTTTTTGACCACCCTGTATAAATAATTATCGAAATATCATACAAAGTCTATTAAACTATATCCCTCTTTACCAGAAAATCAATCCACATTAAACAATAAGGTGTTCTACATAGGGAAATGAAAAATTATTTTAGGGCCTGCAAACGTCATTTTTGACATAAAATTTGAAATATGTCTAAAACGGTTAGACTTTGATATAGGAGATTATACATGAAATGTGATTAGAATTTTATGTAGAATCCGGATATTGAGTCAAATTTAAAATAAGCAAGTTGGCATCAACTTCCGGAATAACCGGGAATGCGAGTATCTTGAAAATATTTTAGCTGTCGTTGCCTCATCGACACTATTTTCTCCCAAATTTACAAAAATATCATATGCCTACATTTCGAGAGATCTATCGATGGAGTTCCCGATGCGACACCCTGTCTATGGTACTTTCGTTATTAAAATTTAAGTTTGTTAGATGGGATATTTTCTTTTCATTCTGTTACAAATAAGAAGTTTAATTTGTTGATATAAATAGTTATGTACAACATTTAATGTTTAATAAAAATGCTCATATGATTGAAACAAGAAATTGTTTTATAAATGCCCCTTAATTTACTATATGACTTCTTCCGAAACCCTATGACAATTATACCTGATACGGCGTTAAAAGCGACACTTCTCTTTTTTCACAAACATTGTAATGGATTTTTAATAGATGGTGTTAGCCGAAAATATTTTATTCCTTTTTAACTAGAATAGATATACCAACAATTGATAAAGACATGTTATTGTTAAACTAATCACAATGATGCCAAAAACGCAAAACAAAAAAATGTGACTCGACCCCGGCCTCCCCTCCGACGCTTGCGCACCATATCACCCAGACTGCCGGAAATGACAAATCATTTTCCTTCAAACTCCCCATCTCTCCATTTTCCACAACGCAGGAACTCAATTAATGGTTCTGATTGTGCGGATATGGAAATATGTACATATTATTATTTATAACAGAATATGCTCTGACATTTTTGTGCAAATTCCCTCAAAATGATATATGCACACAAACACATATACATCACTTACAATTCTCTCAATCTTGCCTCATATCCCTCAATTCCCCTCTCCTTCAGCCGCCTCTTTCTCATGGTAGAGCCTTAGGAGGTCCATCGCATCCTGCGCCTGTCGCTTTTCACATAAGAAACGCCCAGAGACCTCTTTGAGTTGCTCTAGGAAGATCTTGTCTGGAAAGGTGATGTCGACGAGAGAGTCGGGGTCCATGTCGCTGAGCATCTCCAACTCCTCACCTCCTAAAAGAGACACGTGACAGATGTTGTGCTTCAGCTTGCCCACCAGATCCACCAACTCTGGACCTCCTCTACCGTCGTCCACCTGGAACAAGACAGAAAACATATATGTAGTATTTTTTATTCAAACTGAAATCGACAAAAAGAAAGGATGAGCTAGATATGTTCGCTTTCGCTTCATCATTATCGCTTAATTTGCCGGTAACCACAGATTACAAAGTTAAGGTGTAAACATCTCATTCAATTGAATTTTTTAATACATGGAAATATTGCGTCATTAATTATATCAAAGTAACTCCTTTTCAACTTTTCACATATGTATGTACCAAACCAAGTGCACTGTCGACAATGAAATAATAACAATAACATACCTTTATTCGATTCTTTTACAAATACGTCATTGTTTTGAGTAATGTGATGTGCTAAAATATGAATTTTGAAGAATTGCAATGGCGGAGTATAAGGAATTTTCCAACTTCCAAATATTAAATTGACAATAATGAATAAAAATAGAGTCGTAGAATAATAAAATAATACATGAGATTTGTGACCATTGCCTAATAGTAAGACTTTGTATTAGGAATTTTGGCAAAATATTTCTAGACGGCAGTATTTTCGATGTGCCATGCGGAAAAATGAAAATCTGGTGGAAAATCGAAGTTATAGGATGGAAAAATGATTTGCAATAATTTCCAGGTAGCCTGGACATGTTCCGAGAAGTTTGGGTTTATCTACGTGTGGCCTTGATTTGTAACTTTCAATTTTTCTCTTTAACCAAAGGTGGAAAATGAAATAAAATCGCAGTGATAAGATGAAAAAAACGATTTGTGATGATTTCCACGCAGTCTGAAAAGGTATATAAAGATGCATGCTATCTATACCTTATTTCACGCGTATCCATCACGATAGGATGACAGCTGGTTATCTAGTAATACTTCATAATTGCCCATATCGGCACAGGACACATCATTTTGACGGATCCGTCAAAGCCAGGTAGTCAGAACCGTATTTCGTTTTGTTTTCTTGTACGCTACAGATTCATTTTGTACTTGGTCACAGCTTTTTTATTCAGAAAAGTTCATTTGCATACAAAAAACAAACCGCTACAAACAAGATTTACTAGATTTATACCCGATTCATTATTGCCAACGTTGCAGACAAACACAAAAATGTCACATGCTGATCAGCTGTTCACCTCAGTAAACGTCAAAGCGTGATGGATATTGGTAAAATAGGGTGACCCTAACTTTTTCTTTTCAATTTTCCATATTAGTCTGGTAGAAAAACTTGTTTTGTGGTGAAAAACAGTAGGATAATAAAGAAGTCTTAGGCTGTAAAGAAACGAATTCCTGGATATTCCCGTCAGAAATTTCTAGGCTAGCCTCAAATGGCCCTGAAAAATCATTTCGCATTTTTTTGTTAGTCAAAGATGGAAAAACAAAAAAATTGGTTGGAAAAACATGGTATAACGATGGAAAATCCATGTGTACTCATCTTTTGTAAAATCTGACTAATTCTAGGCTATCTTCACTTGTCCATGGTTGTTTTTTGAAGTTTTTCTCGTAACCTAAAGGTCGAAAAAATTTTGGTGGAAAAACGTCGTAAAACGATGACGAAACGATGTGCTTTGATCTTTTTAAATAATCTGGAAAATCTGGGCTACGTGAACTTAGCCCAGAATTTTTATTTCCAATTTTTGTTTAAGCTAATGGTTGAATAACGGAAATTTTTGGTGGAAAAACGTGGTGAAATGATGGAGAACCTTATGTCACATCTTGAATTTAATTTCGAAATTTAATTCAGTGCAACTAGGTTGAAGATTGATTGTCTGTTTTTCACAACTGATAGGATATGGACCTAGTAGCATTACATTCTAAGTTGTCGATCTCTAATCGATGGGAGGACTCAAAACCGTTGTTGCCTCCATCATCAGGATCGGTAATACGAGTACTACTGTAGTAATTGATAAGAAATAGTATCCTTCTTTAGCATATTTAAGTGTAACTTGGATTCTTGAAACTTCTTTCACGAAATCGATTTACGTTCATTTTTCGGCATGCATCGATCCTTAGATATAAGACAGCGCAAAGCGACATCTATCGCCAGATTCGACCACTTCGGAGAGCGCACAGTTGCTATTTTTTGGTACTGTAAAGACCTCAATTCGCGTTTATAGCCCAGCTACCATGTGAGCATTAGATAGCTGACGATTCTGGCTGTATAGTAGATGTGATCTACTTGCCATTGAAGAAATAAAACATGATGCATTCGTCCGTCCAACCAAAAGACAGCCAACCATGGGCAGCTTTTTCGTGTTTCTTGGCTACTCATCAGCAGGTCTAGGCTTGGTCTCTTGTCTCTGATGAGTGGCCAAGAAGCACGAAACAGCTGTCCATGGTTAGACGTCTTTTACTGGGAAGGACGAAAGCATCTTGTTTAGCACCTTAGATGTTATGCCTTTTTGTTCAAACCGCATTTACACTGCATCAAAACAAAAACCTTTGCTCGACCGCCTAATTCTTGCTCTCGTATTGACATAATGTTGTGTTCAGCTTTCAATGACTCGAGTTTGTATACCATAGGAAAGCTCCGCCCAAGTATCTCGGTGTCATTTTTGACAAAGGGATGACTCGGCTGAATTATATCGAAGCATTGAAAACTAAATTCCAAATTACGTTTCACTTTATAAACATTCAAAATCAAGTTTGATAACAAGAGTTGGCTCTTTAAGGTGGTCATAAGACAAACTATAACTTATTCTGTTTTATTGCCAAGACACACATGCGCAATCTGCAGCTCTGAAAATGAATATTATATGAATAATGAATATCAAAACAGCTATTTTTCCTTAACTGACAATGAAAATCGAGATGACCGCATATTGATCCAGATCTACAATTTAACTTAATTTTAATTCTATTTCGATTACATTGACTAATAAAGAAGAGTTGTTAGAAGTTGTGAAAGAACTAAAAATAAACGCAGCACCTGGATATGACGGTATCACGGTTAAGGATGTAAATAATCTTGGAGAATACATAATACCTGTTTCAGTACGTTTAATCAATGAAGCTATACAAAAAGGAATCTTTCCATCAGAATTAAAAATAAGTAAAATAACCCCACTTTTTAAGTCGGGAGATATTAAATGTATGAACAATTACAGGCCTATTTCAGTGGTATGTGTATTCTCTAAGATTATAGAAAAAATAATAAAAAAAAGAATGTTATCTTTCATTGTTACTCACAATATATTGATTGATGAATTTCAATATGGTTTTATAACGATCAGTAGCACACTTAGTGCGGTTGTTGATTTTGTGGACTACATTTCAATGGCTCTAGATAAACAACAAATAGTTGTAGCTGTTTTCACTGACCTAAAAAAAGCTTTTGACCTAGTAAGCATAGACATTCTTTTGGATAAATTGTTTAAAATGGAATTTTGAGGTGTTTCGTAGAGCTTGATTAAGTCTTATTTATATGACAGAAAACAGTACATAAAGCTTGGAGACATTGATAGTGAATGGTTATCTAGCACCTATGGAGTACCACAGGGGTCAGTTCTTGGACCTCTGTTATACAGTCTTTATGTACTGAATCTCAAGTTGGCCAATCTGAGGGGAAGATATTTTACCCTTGCAGATGACACTGTACTGGTATATACTGGAACAGACGAAATTGCTTTAACGAATCTTATTAATGATGACCTGAATAGTTATCTTATATGGCTGTTTTCGAATAGAGTAAAAATTAACATTGAAAAAACAAAATACATTATATTTAAACAAAAAAATAAGATAGTTAGCAATAATCTAAATATTAACATAAATAATATAGCGCTAGAAAAAGTGTCAAGTATTAAATATTTGGGATTACTAATAGATGAAAGTTTAAATTGGTCACTTCACTTAAATGGAATTTGTGATAAAATAGTTTCAATGCTATCTGCCTTATATAAGAGTAGAGATTATTTGTCCAACAAAAGCAAATTTCAAATTTATAATGCCTTCTTTCTCACACATTTTAGGTACCTCTTGCCAATATGGGGTATGTGCGGTGAAGTTAATTTTAATAAAGCTCAAGTTTTACAAAATAAAATTCTGAAAATATTGTTTAATTTTGATTGGCTTACAAGTTCTAATACACTTTATTCAAATTTAAATTTAAACAAATTAAGAGTGTTATTGGAGGTGGAACAACGTAAACTTGTTTATAAAATTATAAATAATCTACTAAAAAGTAACATAAATATTAGGTTCTACCATAACGTGCAAGATCACTAAATAATCTTTATCAAATTTCCAGAAGAACTAATATAGGTTTAAAAAATCCAATCACAGACGCAATTAAGAAATTTAATAATTTACCTCATTGTATAAAAGATTCAAATAACTATAGAAGTTTTGTTAGAGAATTGAAAGATTTTAAAAATGTTAATAAACTTATTTGTTGAAATTATGAGCAACATTGCATTGTACCTGGAGGTTTCTCTGTAAACTGGTCAACTTATTTGGAAAAACTGTCTTGCCCACTTTTTTGCTTAAATGTTTGAAACATCTTACTTAGGAGATGTATACTTTCAAGCTCAATGACAAATCACGGGGAACCCAAAAATATAGGTCATAATTTAGGAAATATTAAGCATTTTCTAAATTATTGACACAGGGGACTGTCAGTTATGGCAGGGGACTGTGTACTCAAATTAAAAATACCAATATTAGCAAAATTAAATATTTTATTTTCTCTATACTTGGAAATTAACAATTATAGTAATTCTTCGGTAAACTACGAAAAAAATCAATACTTTTATTACGTATACTCTTGTTACAGGTACAAAACTTTGTAAGCTTAAGGTAACATAATCAGTATTTTACACACAACCATTATTTTTACGAAGCTTAACGTTTTTCAAAAACATTAATAGGTGGATCAAATGTATAAAATCGTCTATTTTTCCCATTGAAAGTATGTTTGAATTAGGTAATTTTTCTATCACTTGATCCATTGTAATATCTGCTATATCGTCCGGATCCATTCTAAATGTTTGACCTTTATTATCGTAAAGCTCTAAAAATGTAACTCGAATTTCCCCATCTTCATCGATTTTGTTTATTACGCTTACATACCTATATTGCATATTTTTGAGACTAATTCAGCTAGGATGTAATCTCCATTGATGAGTGCTTTAGCTGCGGAAGAGCTGGGTCCGGCTTCATCAGGTTCCGAGTCAGTGAATTCTTCAGCAACTGTTAGTTTAACTTTATTTTCATAGTTTAATTTTCCGATGTTTGTTACAAAAGCAGCTTAGCTGTTTCATCACTATCCCAACTAACTCAGATTTTAAGTCCAAAGAGTTATAGAATTTTCCGACGACGCGTCCTCCGAGTAGTTCTGCTTTTTTTATTCTTCTGTTATTAATCACTTTTGTGTTTTCCATAAGCCATAATTTGTATTTTTCCACTAGTTGTCTGAATACTACTTTAGTCAAAAGCGTTTTAACACCTCACCAAACAATGCCTTCGTGACTAGATCTTTCTTAGTTTCTGGACTATCTTCTCCCTATTAATTCGTTTTTTGAACATATCAACATCTTGAGGTGTTGTTGGTCGGGATGAGTGCGGTGTTTCCGAATCTGGTGTATTTTCTCGCAGATAAGTGTTAGTTATATTTGTCAACGCTTTCTTCTTATTCCGATAAGCAGAGCAATGCTCTGTCCATTTCTTTTTAGCCTCCCGGTGTTCTCGTGGCGTCATCTTTAACAAACTTCCTAGTCCCCTTTTCTTTTTTAAGGTATTTCAGGTGTCACTTTACTCTTAGCTCTTCCCTTCTCTGCGGGTTGTTCTTGAGGCGCTCGTGCTTTTTCCATTCAGCATCCCTTTTCTTTTGTCAAATTTCCTCCTTCGTCTGTGTTTTCTTCCTTGGTGCCATGTTGTAATAATATCTTGTGCCTATAACAATGCTGCATTCACATTAGGACAGGCCTCTGGAAGTAAGAACAATCCCCTGTCCTGTTTAAATGCAGGGGACTGTTGCCACGGGACTGTTCAGTTAGATTAGATTGATAAGTAGCACAATACAGTATCCATTTGTTTTATTTTGGTGCATACAATTGAAAATTATCTATTTGAATAAAGTACATTATGTGAAATATGACTTAAAAACACAGAAAGGAATTTAAATATTTCTTACCAGAGGACTGTAGGCTTTTAGGTTGTGACGCGGGTAACTCGGAGCAACATGTGTGCAGCACTGAAGAAGATGGCCTCAGGGCCGCTCTGGTAGCAACCGCGTCAACTTCACTCCGTTCGCGTTTCGTTGAACGCAATAAAACGATATTTTTGCGTTCTAGGCTTTATGCCATGTCATTTGAAATATACACAGGGGACTGATCGCTATATGGTGTGACCAACTCAAACTAATCTGTTTTTTATTTTTTTAATATATAAATGAACAAATAAGCACTGTTAATAATGCCGACTGTATTATGTTTAAAATAATACTTGAATTAGTCGATTTCTAAACTTATTTGTTTCAATACCTGAATCAGAAGCCATTGCAACGCTTTGGTGACATACCAGAGGACTGTTTTTTGAGCATTACAACAATGTTTTTAGAATATTAACAGTAGTTTATATAGATAATTCATACTAAAGATAGGTGGACTAGATCATTATGTTTCGAAAATAGTAATGAAATAAATAATAATCTCTTCTATTTTACATTATTATGGTAGGAGACAACGAGTTGACCACCTATAGTTCATAGATATTGATTATTGTCTTGTTATTCTCGGGGCCAGTGTTTGCAAACACTGATTGGGGAATTATTGTTAAAGCTGGTTATACATTTTGTATTATTGTGTTTAAATAAATTATTTCAAAAGAAAAACTAATGGCTCATTATTGTCCACACTCCTTCATTTGATCATGACATGGTTTTTAATACCACATGATTTGATCAACTTATTTCTGAAAATTATGATTTACTACATTTGTACACAGCATTTTAGGATGTTTAAATAAGGATAGGAAATTAAATAAGTTTCTCAATTACAATGAATCAGACGAATTAATTGGTATTTAGGCCTCAGGCCTGCTTGGTCACTCAGTATATAAAAAACGCTTCTTTGAATAAAGTTTAAGAGGGGATTTAACATTTGCATTTCTCAGTAGGCTGTAACAGTTGTCATCACAGGTTTTCAGAACATCAAATTTTCAAAATCCTTATAATTTGGAAATTCTGAAAAATCTAAATACGGTGAAATGTTTGAAAAATTTAAACATGAAGGTTTTGAAAATCCAGGCAACTCTGAAAATAGTGCAAATTTCGAAAGTCTGAATATTTTGAAAGCCTGTGACTGGGTGACTGTTACTCTACTGTGAAATGCAAATGATAAATCTTCCCTTGACCATTCCTTAAAGAACGTCTAGCCGAAAGAGTACTAAGCAACTAGAGAAGTCAGTCAACTGGTACCTTGACTAATAATGTCTGAAATTAACTGGAAGTATTTGAAAGTATTAGGAATGTAAAGGATTAACATGGCATGTCCCTTTTTGCTGCCAGCCTTTCTGGAGGAGTATTCTTCATACTTTACATCTGATTGTTTCATGATGGGTATAGAGATGACAAAAATAATGTTATCTGTTTCTTTTTCGTAAAAAAATGCGTTTTTTGTGCATTTTTTCTTCAATCGTTACTTGTTAACAAATAATAGTACAGCTCTAAAATTGAATGTGAGTATTCCACTTTTATGGAAGAATAATAACTTGTTTTACCATTTCTTGAAAACTCAATTTGCTGCAAAATGAGGTTCCAAGAAAATCAAAGATTTATCAAAGAGAAAAATGAAAGTAATATGCCATTTCTCTGCTTCATAAAAGTCGAATATTCAAATACAATGTTACAGCTGTACTAATATTTGTTAACAAGTTATGATTGAAGAAACATGCATAAGAAATGCTTTTACAAGCATTGTTTTTCAGTCATATCTATATAAACCATGAAATAATCAGATGAAAAGGATTAAGAAAACTGCTGCAAGCAGCCAGCTGGAAAAAGAGAAAAAAACGGGACGTGCGACCTTCAATTAAGTTACTAACCTATTGCCTCAAAGGACCATAAAAATAAACTTATTTTTACTATACATAACTACACACGTCATGCATGGCATGTTTTCTCTTTTCTGATCAGAGGTTAATCAACCACTCATTTGCAAAATCCAATGTCCATATACCATATTTCAAGCTGTTATTAGTAATATATTACAAGTAACAAATAATTTCTGCTTATGTAGTTATGTACATATACATGTTGGGTTCCACGTCGTAACAACAACACGAGACGGCGACCCACTACTAAAACAAACGTGTCCATCTCTAGTATTGCCAACAGGATTAATGTGAAAAAAATGCCCCACAAGTTCATAATGTACACATTCTGAAGCCTGAATTTAAATATTTCACATTGCCAGTGACAGAAATCTTATCAAAATCCCAGGTACCTGTGGATACAGATCTAGGTTTGTCAATCTTTCATAAAGTGGGAAGATAAGGCCCCCCCATGTATGCTGAGCACCTGTGGTAGGGACCCTAGTGGAAATTGTGGGAGCAATGAATTGGTTTAGTGGGTGGGGGGTGGTCCGCAATGCAATGGCAAATTTGAGGGAACCTATAATCTATATTCATATTCATTTTATTATATTCATTTCAAAATGCAATAGATACCTCACAGATTTTAACTGGAACACCTTTATAATAAAGGTGGTCTCTTTACTGCTATAGAGATGTTATTGCACAATGTCTTAACTTCACTTGGTGGCATTTATTTTTTGTTAAAACTATATCCAAAACCGTTGAAGGTCCAACTATCACTGCATCAAACATCATAGTTTTCCAGTGAACTTTTTCCCCATCCTTTGAGCTGTTTTCTGGTTTGAGAGTGATAAGCTCCAGAAACAACGCATGAGAATACAATGTACAGTGCTAAGCAATACTGAGTTTCCCTGAGTTACTCAGAGTAACTGAACAAGGTCACTGGAAAGCAACTCAGGTACAGTAGTAGTTGGTGATAATGTAAACAAAATCAGGTACATGTGACAGTAATAACCTTGGTGAACACAAAGAAAAAGGATTCCTAAAAGTGGTTATGGATACTGGATAGCAGGAGACATCCTCAGTGCACAATGATTAAAACCCTGCCAATCCTGAATTAATGAAATTTGAATGAAAGGCTGTGCAAAATTATATTCCCGCTGAATGTCTCAGCCTCGTATCTCTCAATCTTCTTAGTACAATCAACACTTATCTGGAGCTTCAGGAAATGGGTCAGTGCAACAGTGAATAAAACACAACTCACCTCATCCTGTTTCTTCAGCCGACAGGGTGGTGTCGGGGGCACCCAAGTCTGCTCGTTACCTAACACCATCAGACTTGTGTTCGGTTCCAAGGTTGCGAAATATTCTTCATCGTCAATTTCCGTACCGTCCGCCTCCAAAACAACCGTTACCGGCGCCTCAACCTCCAGTTTATCCAGAACTTTGGAGGTTAGATCTTCTAGGGATGTTGAGACTATACCTTTGCGGATCTCTCTGGTAACATTTGTGATTTTGAAAGGTTTACCAGATTGGTTGTTTTCCTCCTCCATTGCTGCTCGTATTGTTACCGCCTGAATTTTTAGCGCGAGGTTTTTTGCACGCACTCGATATAACTCACACTACGACGTCTTCAACAAAACTGAAAGAAAACGCGTTCGGCAAAACGTCAAAGTTGCGGCTTTATGGTTTGGTTACCGCCCCTCAAACATGTGTGGCTTTCAAACACAACTGGGCATGCGCGAACCGGTTCGGTGGTGAATAGTGGTTGCCAAAATGTGCGATTGACGACATACGAGGGGCAAGCAATAATTGAAAAATATAAAACAAGATCACCCGCACATAGAGTGGTTTCAGTAGTTTCATCACCACTGCACTGCCCTCAGAGTATATTGGGTAGCCTACCGTGATGTAACGAGCAGAAATGGTTACTGCTCATCATTTTTCACTCTAACATTAGAAGCTTGCAATCTCGAGACATTACTTTAGCCTTATTTTTGGGTTGTAGTATATAAAAATGTGAATAGGTACAAAACTCTCCAAAGTGACGAAGCAGATTATTGATGTCTAATTCATGATAAAAAAAGAAGTGAATTGATATTATTACGAAGATAATGACGTAACTGTAAATAGATATTTGACAACACTGCACAGGGGTTACTCTAGGTCATTGAGTGTAGAATCGATATTGAGGTGAAAGCTTTAGATAACAGTTTTTGAGGATTCCCCCCTGTTTATAAATACCTGCACCAACAACCCTCTCCAGTACACTCCCACATAAGAGTTAATTGGCGTATAATCAAATAAGGGTTCATTAAATTTTAATGGTCTAGGTATATGAAGGGGAATTTTAATTAACTTGCACATCTCACTCACCTACTTTTTCATTCAGGTTATTCGTGTGAGAATAGTGGGAATGGAAAAAGGGACTGAGAGCTATACAAATTCTCATTCTTTGTTGATGGCTTCACATAAGCTGAAAATTTTGAAATTCATGGAATGGGTAGGAGGGCTGTCGAAGAAACCTGTGGCAGATAAATTATATATGGTGAACTGTCAGTAGCCAATGGCAATGTGGCCTGGCATCAGAACAGTTCTAGAATAGTTGTAGAACTCTAATGAGCCCTTATCATCACATTATAAAAATTTGAGTTTTTAAAACTTTACCTGTGTAATGCAAAATATAAGACGTTTGAGACACACGTCCACGGCAAGATTTTTTTCTTAAAATGGGTCCAAGAATTGCCTTCTTAAATATTTCCCCTTACTTTTGAAGCATCTTATAAGATATATGATAATGTCATAATTTTTAAAAGTTTGATGTTGAGTTTTAAGAGGCTAAAAAGATATGTTTCCAATTTCCTTTTTTACACTAGACCAGAGGTTCTCAAATGTATTTCTTCTACTGCTAACTTTGAGAATCAATTATTTTCTAGCGCCCGCAAATCACGGGGGACCTATGATTGTAAAATGAAAATCGGGTAGGGGGAGGAGTCACCGACATCAGTCCTTCAGCATCTGAGAGCAATGTCCTTGTGACAAATGCAGAGCAGAGGACATTATGTTATTTGATCGAAGATTTCTTCTATTATGCAGGGTACTGAAAAAATTAAAACAGGGGAATAACACCAAAAACATGTTGGTATTCGTTTTTTTTTTCTACAGTGCTTCTCTGTAGTGTCTGATTTTTCAAGGATTTATTACAGTTTTGTCTTTCAGTTTGAAAAAAATGTAATGGAAATAAAATTAAAAGTTTCATGAAACATTTAATTAGATACCTGTATAGTTACAAAACTATAGTCACATTTAGAAAAAAGCTCAATATTCAAGTAGAAAATACTGGACTTCAAAGAGGCCTTTTGCACAGTCTATAGTTTGAAAGCTTTACAACAAGTTGACATTATAATCTATTTTGATACTGCATATATGAAGAATCAATTTTTGTATAAATAAAGCAATAATAATAGAATATTCAACGGGAAGAGGATGGATGAGAAAAACATTAACTCATTGTGCAGTTCTGACTGAACATTTATTTGGCTACTTGAATTATTTTGCATTTTTTTAACCTTTATAATAATATATGCAGAATCAAAGTAGCATTTCATCAATAGATGTATCTATCAATAGAAACAAAATAAACTAGTCTGATGAATTATACTTAATAGATAACAAAAATAAGAGATGGTCCCTATTTAGAAATACCCTATGTTGAAAATGCAGATCTACCACAATATTATACATTAATCACAGAATATCAATTCTGTCAATAAAGCAACATTCTTTGATCACAACTTTTAAGGAAAGGTTTTAAAATGATATGTAACTTGTAGCCTTCAATATTGAAGAAATGTCCTCAATATGTGAAAAACTACTTTCCTGTATCATCTATCATATATAATTTAAGACAGGTGCTTATTTTTGAATGTAGTAACCTAACCATAATATTTTGATGCCTTAATATTTTTTGTATCATTTTTGACAATATCAGAGTTCAAATTAATGTTAATGACTATCTGAATGGCACCATTCAGCAAACCTTAGGGGATTGAGTACTTGATTGAGATAAGTACTTCCCACACATTTATATAGTTTGAGGATTCATGATATAAAAGTAAAAATTTTTGTATGCTCAATTTTTTGGCTACAAGTACCTAAAATGATCAGGAATGTGAGTATGAGTAAAACAGACATGGTCATAGAAGACAACTGTTATAATATATGCTACTAATTTCTACTTTAAAGCAAAATTGGAGAATGAATCTTTTTGAAACCTAGACCTCCCTAAAAAGAGTTTCTAGCACCACTGAACAAATATCATCAACAAACCAAGAGCCTTCCACCATGTAGATATCATAAAACATCCATCCCAAATAACCAGTGATTTGGAATTCAAACACTTTCATGATAACAATACTCAAAATAGTTGAGAAAAAATCACTTAAATGCACAATTCTTATTTGAATGTAGCATTTTAGATGTTACAATTCCTTCCATGTAAATGGCAACAGGATTATCATATGCAATGTGTAGAAAGTTTATATTTTTAGCTGTAAGTCACCTATTCAGAAAATGGTCACTTAAACCCTACTAATAGTTTCAAAAAATATTGGCATGTTCGAGGATTAAATACCCTTTCCAAAATTTTTACTGAACCTATTTCACAACACTTGAAAAAATTCAAATAAGAATTGTATAATTAAAGCCATGATGCCACAATGTCTCTTAATCTGCATATCAATCAACTGTCAAGATTGTATTCAATTTGAACCGAGTTCCATGTCAACACTAATGTCTTTTCACCAATTTTGGCAGTTATATTTCAATGACATACCAAATAAGTAAACAGATCAACTGCAGAGCTTACCAACAAAACTGAAAAGCATAATTATGTCTGTGAGCTTACCAAACAAACATCTGCACATAGGCATGTGTATCTGTGAAAGATAGAAATATGACAGTAATATTAATGCTTTACTATTATCCGCCAAAAATGATTAAAAGATGGATAGTAACAATAATAATGAAATTATTAAACTCATTAGGAAATAGTTATAATGGTTTATAGACATTACTAAGCTTTTAACCTCAAATCAATCAAACTGGGACATAGCATGTTTTGTAAACAGTCTTTCAAGACCAAGATGAAATCAAAGAATCTTACTTAGCAGCAAAAACTGCCCTTAAAGAACAACACAGGGGGTTTTCTCACGAAAGGGATTAACTCTCTGGCTGGAGAACCCCACAACAAGGCAGTCGTCCTGTTCATGCTCTGTGGTATATTTTATGATGTCTTTGACTGCCAGAGAGACTGGCATTCGTTTGATTGCAGCCTCCCTTCGCAGCTGCTCGGTGATTTGGCGCTGCTGTTGGAGGTTTGAGGCCACCATGTCCATCAACGCCGTGTCGGAAAGGGGTATTTTGACGGTTCTGGAAGGTACTGCGACAGGAAGTGGGAGCGGTCGTCGTACTTCTACGGTGCGGCTCAAGGTGAAACAGCTATGAGAAAAAGTGTGTTAAAGACAAAACAAATACAAATATGATATAATGTTTTAGCTTACTGTTCGATTCGGGATAGCCTGTTGTTTAGTGGTGATTCGTTTCGGCGATAGGTTTCAGGAAATAAATAGATTGATGTCAACTTCCCAATTTATGCGGACTCTAATCCAAGGTTTATCCACAAGGTTTATCGCTTATCGGATGGGACGTGAATCGTGAAACATCAATGAACTTGTCATTGTCACGTTTCTATTCTGTCATTTGCCAAGCTGCGCTGTCAACTGGTTAGGGACTTTCACATTTCACGAAAAGTCGTGCAAGCAAACCGATCTCACACTCCACCCTAAGTTACGAAATACTTGGAGCCCCTGATATACACGACGCTATTAAAAAAACATTGGTAATATTTCTAGAGGAGAAAATGTATATAAAAATAACAACAAAAATTCCTATAAATATATGCCCATTACCAAGATGAGTGTTGTAACTGTTGTATACTACGCCACTCATGAAGCTGAAAAATGACAAAGCATGAATATTGTTACACTCTGGCCACATTCCACCTGATGCAAATACTGCAAAACGGGAAGTTTTGAAATTCGTTCATATTGGACTTGCTTGTACATCTAAGGCAGGCAGCAGCGGTCGCCGCAGTTGTAGACTCTTCTGTCTCCTGATCAGTCGCCGTGCGCTGTGCGGGTTCGAATCCCGTCCCAGGAGAAAATTTTCTTTTGGCTATGGATGTTGTGATTGTCCGTAGGTGGTAGACGGTCTCTGACTGTCGAACGCGGAGGTACCACCCGGCGGATCTCGTAGACGGGGCCAGAATGTGTGCGTGTCAGCACTCTATTTTAAAGTTATGTTACAGATATCTATTTGCATCAAATTGTTCATGCTTTGGATTTATATCATCTGTTCTATACCCTGAAATTTTCTACAATACACGAAGAAAACAGAGCCTGACAATAGGAGAACGCTGAGACTGACACGGAACAGTAGAAATCTAGAAATATCCCAGCCTTTCTGAAAGAAAGGAGAAAGTCTATGAAAATCAAGGAGGCCATAAAAGCTTCCTACAATTATTGTAGGAACGACTGACGATACGGCCCTAAATTTCAATTAAAATAAGATGCAACACCGGAAGTAACAATTTTAAAATAAAATTTGAGAAACTGCGCCTATTTGTATTTTCGATTTTTTACTTCAAAGTATAGCTTAAAGTGTGTTTTGAATAGACTAGAATTTTTGAAATGAGATACGTATCAATTGACATTTTGCTGTGCATACATGGCATTTGGCCATACATGGTCACACTGAGTATGAGGTTAGGCGCTTGCTTAGTTTGACCGGCTGACGAGA